TACAGTCAAATAACAATTATAATTATTATATATAATTATGTGATGTCCACTTGTTTTGATTAATGATTTCTACCTGCTATTTATTTCATTTTCAGATTTTCCTTGTCAACACCTCGTGGTAAGATAACGCAACAAAAATTTACTTCTTGATGGCATAGCTGCCTTTACATGGTCGCCATCTTTATTTTAAACCTGTGATTTCAATTGATTGTGTAGTACATTGAGCTTTGTAATATTCACAAAAGAGGAAGCAGGATTATTTTCTGATCCTAAGCTTTGATGCTTTCTAGGGTTTTTCCAGTCCTTTGGAGAATAGCCAAGATTTTCGTGGACCCAAAGACAAGAACGAAATGTGTTGTGCTTAAAAGCTCAGAGCTCAGCAAACTGTGTGACTATTTTGATCCTGAGGATTTGCCAGAGGAATTTGGAGGCTCTTGTAGATGTGACAATGGCTGTCTTCCTCCTATACCCAAACACATGGTAAGGTTGATAGTTTTGACAGTCAAAAATTGTCATTCAGTAAGTCCACTCAGGTGATATCTCAGGTGATCAAGATCTCTTATTATTGAAAGAATCCTCCCTTTGAAGTAAAAATTTTCAGGGACCGAACATCCACACAAACTCTATATGAGCTGTTGTCTAGTCTTTTGTTTTGCTGTCTGACACCATCATGAAACAACAGCTTGCATTTATTTCAACCAAACATCTAACTCAGGCATACTCACAGTATTTAATCAGATTTGTTATTCATTTACCCCTTTTTCTTGACACAGATATGAACCCTTTCCCTCCCAAGATCTCATCAGTAATTCTCCTTACTATCTGTCATATGATTCTTGTGATATTGATTTGGAGAATTTGGTATTGAATCAACGAAAAATCCCCTAATTGCTATATTTCTTTATTCCCATCACTTGTCTGCTTAAGATTGCATTGACACTGTAAGGAGAAATTCTCCCTTGATCACTCATGGGAATAAAAGGGTTAATAATTTGTTTTTATTCATTTATTTATTTCTTTTGTGATAAGAATTGAAATTGATTTTTTGTAGCTGGAAGTGAAGGACAATCCACTACTGATAGAGCAGACAATAGGTATGCTATTGTACATCCAAAACAGTATTTAAAAGGTGGGAAGGGGGGAGAGAATTAGGTTTGATGGATGATGAACAATGACCCTGTTCCCACCCCCCTCGGCAATGTTTCTTTACCTGGATCATAGTTTCCAGAGTCATACCTGAATCAAATCAGGGGAAAAATGGAAACTTTCTGATGTTTCTGCTGTTATCCCTCAGAAACAAGCTGAAATTTGTATGTAGGCCAAAAAGGACAAAAGGATTTTGTAACAGTCTTATCACTTTTAATGCCCTTAAAGCCTAACCTATTTTATCGAAAATTTATATGTAATCAACATATTTTATTTACAAACATAACAGACATACAAACAATTTTTTATCAAACCTTGCTTTAAACCGCTGATGGTTCTTTGTATTATAAGTTATTATTGATATTATCTTTTGTAAAGCGATTATAAATTATCTATCTTTCCATTACTAATGACTCCTACTTTGCTTGGTCAGTAGTGCTCTTGGAACTCTAACTTAATTCATCTCTGATTCCATCTTTAATGAAAACAAGCCTCAACTCCTCAGTTGTCAATGCTTGCAGTAACATTATAAAAATATGATTGTGAATTTCTAAAAAAATTTATATCCTGCAGGACCCAAGAAATCATTTACATATGAAGTAAACTGTGATAACAAGAAAGCTGACACGTCCATAGCATGGTATTTTAAAGCTACAAGGTGACTCTCATTTAATTTTGGTACACAAAAGTCCATTTTACAGTTGCACGCTTGGTTGCTAAGCCTTTTTACAGGAGTGAGGTTAAGGGTGACCTTGTTATGATACAAACTTTGCTGTGTTTCAAATACAAATTAATTTGTTATCATGCTAACTAGATACTGGTCTCCATCATGACACTTCCAATTGGTACTTTGCAACACTTTGGCACTTCAAATCAAAGGCTTGGCAACTAAGTACACAACTGTAAAATGGCTTATTGATCAACTGCCCTTAATCTTTCAAACGTTGCAATAGGGTTTTTCTAGACTGGCTTTTTTATATAGTACAGGTGCATGAACTTGTTTACAAAGAAAAATAACCAGAGATAAATATCTACCTGTCTAGTCTAACCTAACTCAGACAAGAAGTATTGGTATTTTTACCCCTATTTTTCCTCTTTGTTACTTTTTGTGCGACTGGATGGCTTTTTCTGGTCTGCTTGTACTGTTATGTTTGGCCACATACTAGGTTTTATTATGATCTTAAAAGAAAAACTTGTGAGTCTGTATACTGGTCTAATGATGTTGATCAATATTTCTTGTTTTGTAGTAAAGACATTCAATTTGGAATTAAGTTCAAGGCCAAGCCTCATTCAGGATGGAAAGACAATGAAAATGAAATTGAGGAGATCTGGGTCGAGGAGCTTGAACCAATTACAGAATGTGATGTATCAGTGACTGGGTAAGGTTGGATCTAGTGCATAATTCTCCCCTCTAAAAGGTATATATCTCCCTGTAAATGAGTGGAGAGAATTTGGTGTTATATCAATATCAGGCTGATGTACCTGCTTCAGGGATAACTTTAACCCTTTAACTCTTAGCGGTGATTCATATGTAACTTCTCCCTTTAATAGCCATAGATTATCCAGCAAACAAATAATGAGAATACTCAAAATAATCAGGTATATGTTATTATCTTGATCTTACACCAAATTCTGGCAACTAATTTACAAGGAAATGGGTAGCAGCTAGAGGGGGGAATTGAAAATCAGGTCTTGAGTGTTAAAGGGAAAAGTTAAATGAATTAACTTTGGTAAACCATTTCAATTTGTGACACCTTTCAATCCCTCATCATGGGTAACCCATTCAATTTCTGTCAGTTTTCTATCAGTCTTTAACTTGGTATTTTATGTCTGTTACTAAGCCTATTCAAGGTCTGACACCTGTCAATATCTGTACAGCACACTAAGTATGCACATCCCTGTGTGTAAAATTTATCAATATCTTTCTCACCAGTCAGTGTGTTTTTATGATTGACACTTGTCCATAACCTTTCAGTTTCTACACTCCACCTTGTCCTGGTATCTGCACCTTAGTGTGGGACAATTCAAACTGCAAGTGGCTCTCAAGAACAATCAAGTAAGAACACCAACCTTAAAAATATTGCAAAGTAGTTAAGGGTCTTGAGGTGCGTTTCTCAAAGGTTGCAATAACTTAATGGCTTAGAAAACAAAATGGGCTGGTTAGGGTGGTGGAAACTGTTTCTTGATTCTTTAAATTTTGATTCTAGAATATGGCTTTGGGCCTGTTAAGTTATTGGGCCTTTCAAGAAATGCTACCTTGATCATGTCTAGCCAGTGAAAGGGCTGTGTTTATCAATACAGTGGTCAAACGTCTGCACACTTGGGAACGTTATAATAATCAGATGGCATTTTTTCAGCCTGTCAGAACCAAGTTGTTTGAGTTACCAACAACCAGTGCAAGCCAGTAAGTCACAGAGTTTTAGGGTTAGGGGTTAAAAAGATAAATAAAGAGGATTCCTGTATTTGTAGAGGCTTTGTGCTCAACAAGCCTTGAGTTTTCCTTTTGCCTACTTTTGTTTCCATTTAAAGATTTCTATGGACAGTTCAATTTTCGTTTGCATATGTTGCAACACAGCAGTTTTTTCTTATCTTTTACTTTGAAATTTTGCATGGGAAATTGGCACACAACTGGCCAAAAATGATCCCCTCACACAAACCCGATGTTTGACCACTGTGTTACATCCATCACTGTCAAGGGGCTACATCACAGTCCGTGCAATCTACCAAACCTACGGTCACCAGACCATGCAGCTATCCTTGTTTCTTGTCAGTTTATTGATTACCCCTCTGTTTTTGTTGTTGTTGTTGTTGTTGTTGTTGCTTTTTTTTGTTTAGCTAAACTCATATTTTGTTGTCTCTTTCCAGTTGCAGTTAATTTACATTTGCTTGATGCAAAAAATTATTCAATATGATTGTAAGATTTCTGGTCCTCTTTCTAGGTACCATGTCATGGTCAGTGAGGTAGACTCTGATGAAGAAATATCAACTAATGGTAACAAAGAAATTTGCTAAACAGCAAGTATTGTTGGGGCAGCTTGTAGAATGCAGTATCCATGTGCTAATTAACACTTAGAATAGGGGCTGGAGATCTCTATCATAAAATGGTTGATGAGGGCAAAGCCTGATTATTATGCAATGAAATCTAAAGCAAATAATCTAATTGCTTTGGTATAAATCTATTTGTCTTTGAAAACATAACAACAACTTATTTTAAGACAGTCTCATGTTGTTGTGGCTACTGCCTCCTATAGGAGGTGAAGCCACAGAATGATGTTACATTTTTGAGATGAGTAAGTGAGGGAGTTTTACAATAGAATTCCGATCTTGACCCAGTTTTGATCAGATGTTTCTGGGTGCTACTTATTGTTTGATTCAGAGTATCTTAGTACTGTAGTTCGACATTCACACAACACACTGGTAAGTTTTCTCCTTTTGTGATTTCTGGCTTATAGCCTCTAGCACATTATTTTTTGTAGATATAGGCATTTGATATGTAACATTATTTGATAAGCTGAGTTATACATGCATTTGGATTGGTTCTTATTTATATGTCAGAAGACGGATGCAAAGATAACATCACTTGAAAAATTTCAGTGATCCACCCAGCAGCACCTGGGGTGCTACTTTTTTGTTTTAACCTCATTTTTCTGTCGTCTGTGATTTTTTACTGAACAGACACAGAAACATGGAATCTAATCATTAACCCCTTAGCTCTCAGGAGTGACCAAGACAGAATTTCTCCTTACAATATCAATTCAATGTCAAGAAGACAGGTGATAAGAATAAAGAGAAACATCAGTCGTGCTATTAATAGTTGATCTAATACCAAAATCTCCAAGCTAACGTCATGAGGACTGTATAGCAGACACTGAGGAGAATTACTTATGTGATCTGGGAGTGAAAGGGTCAAACTTTGCTAATTTTGATACACAATCAAAAATAAGAAGAACAAAATTTTTTAACCAGGAAATATGTCTTGTCACATCCTTTTAAGCCTTTAACTAAATGATTAACATATAACTTCCCCCCTATAACATCCACACATTATCCAGACGAATAGTATTGAGAAGACTCAAACTTATCAGGTAGAAGTTAGTAATCTTGATCTAACACCAAATTCTCATGACTTATTTACAAGGAAATGTGTAGCAGCTAGAAGGGAGAGTTAACAATCAGATCTTTGGAGTTAAAGGCTTAACATCTAAAAGGAATTTTTCTCTCCATAAAGGATGGTGGAGATTTTCATAGCATAGGTTTTAACTGTGGCAATTATATATGGTAAATTATTAGTTAATGGTAAATGATAACAACATTATTTATTAGTGAGAGTTATCCTGCAATTAGAATTCAAGTTATTTAATTGAATGATCATGAATTCTGGAAATATTTTTCTAGTGATAAACCATTTAACAAGCTATTTAAACAGCTTATGATTCTCACATAAGGATACTTGCCATGATCACTTATTCCTTATAAACATGCTGCTTGATGGAAAGTGATAATAATTCATATGTTGGTGTGAGTTATTTCTAGTGAATTTCTAGGTTTCCCTCAGATATTTGTAGCACGAGGTTGAAAACTGCTAATTGTGTATATAAATAGAGGAAGACTCAACGAATTATAAGATTCAGAACAAACGAGCATTTTTAGCTTTGTTCTTCAACTTCATACAATTTGGACATACGCTGAATTCTAAAAAGTGCTACAATATCTTTTCTACTAACTTATGGTATTTTCCTATTTTTCATACGCAGAAAACGTTTTTATGGGACTCAATGTGAAGTGTTAATGATATTTTCCAAGAGAAAAAAAAGGGTTGATCTCATCGCTATTAATGAAATATTTTCCAAGAGAAAATGTTTATTTAAACTTGGTTGTATGTAATTTTGTGAAACAAGCTAAAAATGTCATGGTCGGGTGTTTCAACTTAATAGGGCTGTTGTATAGTTCTTTGATAAATTTCAAGTATTGCTTCTAACTAATATTTGAAACTTTTTCTACTGACATAGAAGTGTACTCAGTTATCAGAGAATACTTTTCTGAAAATCAGCTAAAATCATTCTGAAAGCGTTAACCACTGCTTAGGCGTTTCCCGCGCTTTTAGTTTGCTATTTGTTTGCAATCCCTTGTTGCAATTTTCCCGCTCATTTTGTCCCGCTCATATTTTCCCGCTCATTTTTCGCGCCATAAGACTGGCTGCTTCGGATTTTTGTATTCGGTAATAAAAAGGGGTCCATTACCTCGAAGAATTTCTAGCCAATCAGGTTCAATCAATCCAGAAGCGTTGCCAATGGTTACACGTTTCTCGCGCTTTTCGATTAGCTGGTTGCATTTTTCTCGCCCATTTTTTCCCGCGCTTTTACCGGCTCCTTCGGGTTATGATTGGTTTATTCTGTAGCCCGTAGTTGGTCTCTTTTCACGCTGCACAACTTTGGCTAAGCACGACGCTACAAACCAATACTTTTTTTAAGTGGTAAGTTCCAAGAAACTTAAAACTAATGCGATTATTTAAGTATTTATTGGCTTAATGTGGCTGTTTATTTACACTTACTTTCAGTCCTTTTTCAAAATATTTGAACAAGAGAAGAGTAAACTTAATCCTCTCTTGAGTTTAAGTTATTTACATATTGTAATGTTAACGTAACTTTCTCATTAAGAGAACTTTAGATAACGCATATGCGTTTTTAGATGGTATACAAGTAGTATTATATTTTGAAGTTAGAATATACGAATAAACCAGCATAAAAAAAGTGTCTTTGTGGTTTTTGTCTTGATTTTATTTTTTAAATAAATATTCTGAAAGTGTCTTCTTAGGTAAGAGCCATTTCGAAAGTGCATGACGGAAGAGGGACATTAGTGACTGAACTAGAACAGACGGAGACGGTTCAGTAGTTAGAATACTCGATGACCTTCATCGTGCTCTGATGAATTCGGACAGAAACGTCCAAATCTAGATGATATGGTTCGAAATCGGACGAATCTGTCTGAAATTGGGCAGAACAGTCAGTAATTTATCGACCCTTCCAGAAGAAGACAGAACGTTCAGAATTTAGGTGACACTGTTCGAAATAGGACGAAACCTTCCAAAATTAGACGAAGCCCTCCGAAATTGGACAGAACAATCAAACGGAACTGTCCAAAAGGGGATGGGAACGTCCTAAATCGACTGTCCAGTTCGAAATCAGACGGCGGCGTCCGAAAACAGATATACCCGACCGAAATCACACGAAGTTGTCCGAAATAAGTCAGAGCCGCGGTCGACAACACTGATCAAAGCAGTACAGGCGAGGGAAATCCGACTAGCTGATCACTCGGGACTTCTGTTCAGTGTTTGAGCTAGTGACCTCGACTTGGTACAATTATGTTTCAATTCCTCTAATTGCTTCTTTGATCATATCACCGACCGCTGTGAAGTTACCGCACAGACTGCCAAAGCGGGATAGTTCAAAACAATTGAACTGAAAATTAACTTCACTAATCTATGTGTGAAGGATTGGTCTTCAGGAAAACATGTTATTGTCGGATCGTCTTCAACATCTCCATGACGCTGATTTCAAAACAACTGAACACCACAACAGATAAGGGGAAATATGGAATAAATTTTGTGGGAAGGACTGTCTATTTTAAAGCGTATTGCGGTTTCCTCTGGTCTTTTAAGATAGCGTGGGAATGGTGTATCAATACATTTTCTCAGTCATTCGCCGCTAATTGTAAAACGGAGAGGGAAAAGATCAGGCGAATTGGCGGTATTGAAATATTATAACTAATAGTTAGAGAAAGATGTTATTAATTCGTCTCGTCGCAAGCGTAGGACAACGAATAACAAGAAAAGTCTCATTCCTGAATATTTTAAGAATAGGTACATTTTGAGCTCGGATTAAATTAAAAAATGGAACTATCAAAAGTTTTCTCATGTTATGTTTATGTTGATAATTTTTTTCCACAACTTGTCAGGTCGAAGATGTTATCTTGACCGAACACTGATTCTCGTAACTAATATACAAGGAAATTTGTAGCAGCTAATGGGAGGAATAACAATCAAATCTTGGAAGTTTAAGTGTTCACTAATTTACAAAGAAAAACGAAATTACATATAGCCGCGAAAGGAGCGCTTACAAAACATCTTGCAGATCAGAAGGTTAACTCCAGTTCATAATTTTAAAGGGGATACTGCCGCCATTGTGAGCATGACAGCTTTCTTATCAGGTAAGTAGTTTTCCTTAATGAAACAGTTTACGTTTAAGTATTGTTTACTTTCAAATTTGGCTGGATATCCACGCGCAAATACTTTGGCCTACTAAGATATTGCATCGGCTTGATGCGTTAGCATTTGGTGTAACTTTTAAGAAGTACAAGGTAACAAAACTTAGTCGGATGTCCAAGGAACATCTTTATTATTCGAAAGGCGTTTATCTCTCACTGCTCCGTGAAAAAAATCGAATATGTAACTGCAAAACAGATGTTGAGCACCTGGAAATGATTTCTGATAGCCATAGCCAAATCAAAATTCCAGAACGGTAAATTATAAGATGTTCTATTTGTAAACACAACTGATCATCAAACTACATGCAACATGAGCAGTGTTTCAATTGATTCAAAGAAACTCTAAACCTGCCTTAGCCTGACTCTCAGCTGGTCTAAAGTCGCCTAAAATTGTTCTCTGGCTCGTAAATTAAACTATATCCTTTCCGAGAGGTTAGGCCTATGAAAACCATCTCTTATCTTTTTCATCATCAAAGCACGCTGAGGCTTGCGAAAGGAAAGTCAAAAGCAGTTCTAAAAACCACGCAGCGTCATAGCATAACAAAAAAGACACGATCCTGGAGAAGTTCTTTTTGCCAGCTCACACAGAGAAACTGCGTGGTTTTAGCGTTGATTAAAATAGCGGTCCTTTCGTCACTCAGTAACTGATGACAATCTTTCTCGAGAATCCGGATCTAACTTGCGGCTCGCTGGTCCAACGCCCGCGCGTGATAAACTGGATTACACAGGGAAATATGTTTGAGATTAGGGCAATGTTTCTGTTTAAAATTTCTGAGAAAAGGCACATACATGCAGTTTCATTAGACACCTGCCTCATTAGCATTTTCTCGTTATTGTCTCAGTCAAAGTATCAAAATAGCACCGAATACTATGGAGTGACCATAACGAAATCAACTTGTTGAGGAGATTTGGGCCTGTACAACATTAACCTTATTTTATAAAAAAGGATATTTAAAAAACTAAAAATTTCGTCCCGAGCGCTTTCCTACACCACGGAATACTTCTTGTATAGTGTTAAAATTGATCCACAGATTGTTTTATTTATAAAACTGTTTCAAATTTTGAATCTCTACTGATTCGTGTTCAAAGCGATGGCCCTTATATGGGTCGTATGTCAACAAAAATGAATAGGTTTATAACCAGACTGTTCGGTGAAAAAATATAGGTATTTTTTTACTTTTGAACATTTACTGAAAAAACAATGAAATATTTCCATTGGACAAAAAAATAATTTCTGTCTTTCTTTTACTATCTTGCGGATCATATTGTGGCAGGCGCAATCATACCGGCTGCGATATCAGTACATCAGTCACAATACTTCGAGCTCACATCTGAAATGTGCAATATGCGCAGGGCTGATACAAAATATTGGCATTTAATAGCAGCGTGAGACCGACCTTTTAGGTGATTTCGTTGCTGCCTATACCAAAGCGTCGGCTAATTGGTGGGTGAGTTATTTGCTTTTCGGGAAAACAGTAAAAAAAATCACCGCTAACGGCCGGCCGCAGTTTTTCGTGTGGGAAAAAGGAATGCCAAAACGGGAGTCTAATCACCAGCGTCTGACGCCAAGAGGGACGCGGTTCAGTCTTAATATCGTGACTAAGCAGTGGTTATCACCCACTCTCGCGAAGTGCGGGGGCAAAGAAATTAAAAAATCTGCAAATCCAGAAAGCTCGAAGAGTTATTTGTTTCATTCTAAAACGTAATAAATAAAGCGAGGCATACTGGAAAACATGCACAAATCGCAAGCACGTACAGAAAATGAAAACGCACTGACTTACCGGGGAAAGTCGCATAGTATTAGGAGTGAAGGAGAACGAACGAGGGGAGTATCCGAGGGGTTGACCGACTTTGAAAGCTATTAAGGTATGTGCCGCCCCAAAATGGTATTGTTTTTGAGTCACTTTGGTCTTGAGGAGGGTTACATGTGATCACTATGATCTGAGACTTGGCAAGGTTTTTAGGGGCAGGGAAATAGCGATAGAGAGGGAGAGAAGTAGCCAAAATATATCTTTCGAGTTGAATTTAAAGGTGAATCCTTCCATTTCTACGTTCCGGGTATAGAAAAAATTGGCGAGTTTTAGTCTAAAGTAGATCAAGGGTTGGAGAGTCGTGGGGGCACGCTCCTTCGAAGAATCCCTAGGGGTACCCACTCCCCTGGAATGTGTAGGAAAGTACAGGCACACAAGAGTACGATGTGGGGCAGGAATAGAATGAATTGGAATGTAAAGTCGAAACATGCAACAGAGGAATGCACGAGGGCTGTGAAAGCAACAGAACGACTGTCCATATCTTTGACAAAATACACGATACACCCGCACGTGCTCTATAAGCCATTTCAGTGATGCCAAAAAAGCGCATTCTGCTCTTTGTGTGTCTTGGGGATGAAGGTTAAATGCTCCAGTTTTCATTCTGGTCGAGATTTCAAAATTAGACAAAGTAAATGGAACAGTTTCTTCAGTGCTATCTTCCGTTCCAATGATGTAACAAAAGGAACATTTTTTCTCTTTTTAAGCATCTCTCTTTGCTATTTATTTTCCATCTTATCCAAGATTATTTCTTTAAGGCTAAGCACGATCGATCAGACAAGAGTTAACGCAATTCTTGAAAGCTGCAACTTGATATTCCTTAAAACCCGTTCTGTTGCTCTCTGCGGAGAACAACTGACTAACAACAGTGCGTACAACGATGACAGTCAATTCTCAAAAACTATACCATCCTCAATTTTCCGTTCAGGTCCGTCGGTTTTTTTGAAAAAGGGATTGGTCAGTTCAAAATTGACTACGTGACTGGATTTATCTTCTACAGTAATTCATTTGTCATCACCGCACTTGCCTTGAATTAAGCAGTTCGATATTTATAGCAGAATCGACGTAGATTAATGCCGGAGTTAAATTTAGCTGCGTACCAGTTTTTATTTCATCGATCATTCAGCTTAAGACCATGTCATCGACTCATCATATTTAAAGAAGAACTTTTCGAGCTTATCTTCTCTATACAAGCAGATGGTAAACCCTCTTATAAGCCTTCGGCAGACCGGGGGCTTACGAGGGAAAGGGTCTTATCTTTGACGGGCTTAGTTTCAAGGGGCTTACGAAGGAAGAGACTTCATTGTTGAAAGCAAAATGCGCGATTCATCAATTTTCATTGTAACCACCGCCAGCTCAATTTTGAAACCTGCAATATCTGAGAAAGAAACCAGGAGATATTTTCAAATACGGCCGTATTCTGTAAAAACTTTGCAACTCTACTAATTAAAACCATTTGCACAATAAAACTACTTTTGTTCAGCAAAAATCCCGGCAGAAGTTGATAACCACTCAAGTCAAAATTCTTAACCCTCTTTAGAGATGCTATCTGAGGAAACAGCTGCAGACAAAATCCAAAAATTGCGTGTATTTCAAAGCCAATTTTCTTAGTCTTTAAGCAGAGACGCATCGAATGTCTGTAATGTTTTCGAGTGGTGCCTCCTACGCCGTTTGCCACAGGATAACCACTCAAGATTTTTACAACGCGCATGATTGATTCAGTGCCCTGTTCTGATCTAGAACCCGAATGTCGCCTGTTTAAATTCTTAATGCTTTTAAATAAAATAAGCTTTCGGTTTACCACTGCAACTAATTTTCTTAGTATTCCAACGATCTTAAGACCATAAGATCTAGTAAATTCTAATCATTTCCGAGGCAATTTTAACAAGATATGAATGCGCGTCTGCAACAGTTGCATATTTCAAAACATATATTGACTAAATCCAAAAATCATATTCTCTCGATGTTTTCCTAACATTTGGATTCAATCTATGGATGCAAAGAAACGTTGCGTGATCATGTGGGCTTGAAATTACCTCTAGAAAGTTCAAATTATCTTATTATTGTCAAACCACAAAAAACTCCTAAACATAACCCTTGGGTTTCGGAAGAGCTAGGGTTCATTCGTGATTATTTGATGATATCTCTTTGGAAATAAAATAAATACACTCGAACATAACTTCCTTAGGTTGTAGTTATTTCAAAAGTTCAGACCTCTTCGAAATTGTTCTAGGGTATTCTACAAATTGAGAGAAATGTCGATTGAAATTGAAAAAAAAAATATTCGCCCTCTCATATTGGAGGGATTAGTTTACGAAACATTTCCTCTGGAGATTAAATCAATAGTTCTTTTTCCGGTTTCCAAACGCAAAAGAAAGTTAAGATAAGCGCCTGATATGTTTAACAAACAAATCTTTTCATTTCAAATATCAGAAAAATCAAATGTATGAAATTTCATTTAGCGCAGTGATGTAGCTCACTTGATTGCCATATGTTGGGTTTGTGCGGGCTCATGAAAGGGATCTATAAAAAGCTCAGACAGAGCTCATTTACAAAATATTCGTTTTGGATCATGCAGTCATCATGTTGAAATTTTTAGCCCACCCTTGAAAAATACTATTTCTACCCGAATGCATTTTTGAACTGCTGTAAACTTGAGCAAACTGAGTTTAGCAGGAGCGATTAGTTAATGAGCTCCTGGCTTAGCAATTAAAATCCAGTTTCGCATGAAATAAAGAGTTTTAAATCAATTTTCCATTCATTGAAAGTTTGACAGTTCAAGAATCATTTCTGCAAAATTAACTACCGGGTGGCAGTGTAACAACCTCTGTTGTCAACGCGGAATTGGGATTTGTTGGTTTTTTTTTTTTTTTGCTGAAAATCATTTCCCGATACGTGATTAGAGAAAGGCTATAGTGCTTGAGTTTAAGACATTCTTAATTAATTAAACTAATTACTATATTCCGCATATCTGCGGGATATACTACCGCAAAGAAAAGTCGACATGATCCCACAGAAAACATGGAATCTTTTGCAGTTTGGTTCTGTATTCAACTGTCTTGAAGAGCAAAGTTGCGTCTGCTACACACAAGTGAATAAGTTACTTATAATTCTGCATCGTGTGGCAGTTTATCAAAATGTATACCACGAAAATACCGTGCGTTCGTGTATTAGAGAACAAATTTAGCAAAAATTAAATATACCGTAATGGGATGTAGATGCTATGTCTACCGGGGTATCTTTCAATACACGTTACGTCTAGGCACGAAATTTTAAACTTATAAACCGCACGAGTCGTAAGCGTGCGCGCAATTTGTTTACGTCTTACTTCCCCGACGAGCTCGAGGTTGTTACATAGTTCACAGCTTGTTAGCATCTACACGACATCAAAGAGCTGCTATCTTTACCAAGAGAGAACGACAAGGCTCTTAGCGAAACAACGTTTTCTCAAGTACGTGGTATGTTTGCTTAAGTTTTATTGAGAACTTTTCATCTTACTCTTGGTTACCGTGCACCTTTGAACCTACTTGAGGTTTACGATGTTTTCTGTCCGGGTTAAAGTTGCGCTGTTAAGAGTTTCTGTTCACAGCTGTACTTGCTGTGGTTCTCACGCTCGCAGGAAAAAATAAAAAGGAAAGAAAAAAAAAACGGTCCACGTAAAAAGCACATGCAGGTATTGTGAGGGTTTTAGACTGTAACACGTCCCAACTCACGGCAGTATAAAGATGGCGATATTTACTTCACGACATGATTTCTAATGACCCTAAGGTACATTATCAAAGGGTTGGTTAGACAATACGTCGCGCGCAGATATTACAAAGAGAACGAAAAACCACGAATGGCGTGGCCTTGGAGACACGAAACACACACCTCTCGGAAAAGAGCTCTAGACGGTTATCAATCATTGTTTAAAATAGTTTTACATCGTATTTTTTTGCGGCCACCGCATGAGTCATCAACCGCAACGATGTTGGTCGGCGTTATGTATTTGTAATTCAAGACATTTTGAAAAACGTGATGTATTAATTAATGCGACTCAGCAATGTTAGCATAACCACTTTGAATATTGGCGGCTGTTTACCGTATTGGCAGTAATTTGTGAGTGCTAACGATTGGTTGTATCTCGCCGCAAATCAGAGTTCAATTAGCTTTATTTACCACTTACAATTAAACTATTTACATTCAAGAGTGCTGTTCCGTTCTCTTCAGGTATGCGATAAACATCGTTTTGTATGTCTTCTTTTTTTTTACACAATGATTTGAAAATTGGTTGGGATGCAAGCTTCTCTAAGCTAAGCCGGTTTCTAGCCACGCGTCAAAATATTAGGTCTTAGCGAAAAAAAATTCTATGGAATATTTGAAATCTGACTTTGGATCTTGAGGATTATCTCCGATTGTAGATTTATGCAATCTTTATCTTTGAAGTATTTTTATGCTCTTAACTGCTTTAAAAGAGAATCTTGCATCTCTAGCCACTTTCCGTTGTCATTCAATAGCTTGCAGATTTCATCTTTTTAGCGCCAAAAAGTCTTGTTCGCCGTGGGGCACCAGCTAAGGAACTCGTATTGATCTTGTTAACTAGATCAGGACGCCATTCAGAGAAGGAATTAAGAACAGTTTACCTATTTAACTAGCTTATACGCTCAGTAAATAATCGGATGAATTTGAAGACAATGAATTCTACAGCTCATTTCGTCGCTTTTGAATCAGCTTATATCCTAGTTAGAAATGTAGGAACCAGTTTTTCATGCGGGTGTCGATTGAGGAGTTTTTCGTGGTGCGTGTTCACTGCTCATCATTTAGTGTTGTCAATGACGGATATAAATGTTTGTTGTTAACGGATTAAAACAGTCACTTTAGAGCAGAAACTTCGTCATTTCGGAGCCATGCTAATGCCAGATGACTGGTTAACAGAAATTCTGTTGTAAACTTATCTGACACTAAAATTAACATAGATTGTAATATAAACATGCTTCTTAATTCTAACGCCTTAGCACCCGAGAAAATCTGTTGTTTTAATCTTACCTAATACGATTTTATTGATCTACGAACCTCACCCGCATAGTTAACCAATATTCCACATGCAAACAACTTTGGAGAACTCTAAATTACTTTCCAATATGAGAGGATGTGGAGGAAATCGTTAACTTCAGTCATCTCGTTTTTTTACACTTTTTACACTTGAATACAACTGTAATTACTTTAACACTCAAGCAATTCACGTCATATCTAAAAGCAGTCTCACTTCTTTACTTCACACATCCGACCTAATTGATCAGTAATGCAACAGTTTTTACAAGGAACTTAATCCATTAAATGTGTGCATTGTTTCACCCAAAGGAACAGAAAAGGTTATTCATAAATCAATCCTTTCTCTCGAGTGTTCACTTACGAGACTCGGAGGCGCTGACACTCCCTTAGAGAATAGGCCGAGACGATTGGAAACACGGGTTAATGCGCTGGTAAATGCTAAGTCAAATGACTTTCCAACTGTTTGAGTCGTGAATGCCTAATCTTAAAAAGATATCAAGAGTCTTTTGGACAAAGGAAAAGCCATATATAGGTTAATCGTTTTTTAACCTGTGTTTCCGCTTATTGTTAAGTGAAACCGAAACCTCCAATATGAGAAATTGGAAATTCTAGATATGCCCGCACCTCTCTCAGTTACGAGAGGATGTGGTCCATTGATAAATTGACCTGTGTTGACTGAAGATCTTTTCAAATCCTATTTCAGAGCCGATTGAAGTCGCCCTGAGACGCCATCAAGACCCAACAGTTCATTACTGCACTCCAGTGGGACTCGTTCAGTTGACCAGTCATTCAAGACAGCGAAGCCATATCGACAGCTCTGTGATTTTGCCCTGCAGTTAAACACATCGACAAGTCATTAGTATAAGTCGTCGAACTGAAAGGTAAACTTGATTAGTATTTTTTTGCCTTCTGAATATTTCAATTCGTTTTTTTCGCTTGGCTAGCACGCGATGAAAAAAAAATGAGTACTGCGCGCACATGTAATATCTACATTGACGAAATATAGATCACCAACGTTGTGAAATATCCAAAGAGACGGTTGAAAAACAAAGAAACGGGTGAGATTAATGTACAAAAAAAAAGTTTGGTGTAAACACAATCTTGCGAGATATAATAATAGTGTTACGCAGACAACAAAATGTGATGAAATGCTCTTTCAAATCAAGGTCTCACAACCATTTTGCTAAAATCACAGCGATAAGCCGACATATAACTTACAAGAAAAAAAAACAGACAGGCTTAGACTTTCTAAACCCTGGCGACAAATATGGCTTTGAGACGAAACAACAAAAACAGATTGTAAAACGACTATCCAGTTTCAAAACTCTACCAAATTTCTTGATTTTTGCAACTCCATCACGTACGCAACTTTGAGAGGGAAATTTGTCCTTGTCTCCCCCACTAATCTACCATCCCCCCCCCGACCCCAGACCCCCCCCCCATATCGAGATTCTTGATCTTGTCGTCAAAGGAACAAATCACTTTAAAACAACAATCCTAAAAACTTATTTAAATGAGTACAACATATCACGATAACGAAATTAAAATTATAGAGCATGTAATGCGTGCCCTGCGCCGCCAAATAAATCCGTCAAACGCCACTGGAAAAAAAATACACAGTCATCCAAGTCTACATTCTTTCAGAACACACACATGAGCGGAATTCAGTGTCTAGCGGGCTATGACTGTAACGGTTGATAACGATCTTCTAAGAATATCTCGGCAAAAATTCGATGCATTCATAACGGATTTTTGTGTGTCTGTCCGTGTGAGGGTTTGGAGTTTGCAAGTTAATTTTGTGCTGAGCCGGAAGACGGTCGCGCGCCCGTGAGGAAAGTATGTTCGCGAAATCAAATCTTACGGATCTTTACGGCGCCTGTGATCTGGTTACAGAGCGTTTCAGTTTTCCCGGAGGATTTTCAACAACCGAGCCTCATGGCTTGGTTTTTCGGAAAAAGCACATGACTTTTAGAGCTTTGAGTCCTTTTCATGAAGACAGAATAATTATTAAAACAAACTTCGTGGCACCAAATCGTAGCTTGTTGCAGTTTTCACATAAAACTCGCGAGAAGTAACTGTTGAACATAATTCAGTTTGTCAACGAGGTACACGTAGCCAAGAGAGGAGGAGTCACGAGGAGGGGGGGGAAAGGTTTTGCACTCAAAACGGTGCAAACATCCTTTGCTGTTTACATTATACCATGGTAAGTTTACAAAATTGTGCCGCCGACGAATACAGGATGTTTTTCTCAAATCAGAACTGCATGGGAGCCAGCAATCGAGATTGAAAATTCCTTTCTCGATTTATTGACGTAATCGGGTGTATTTATATAAGCTGCGCTGTAAATTTCATCAGATTAAGCCACTAGCTAGAATAACAACAATTGTGGATCACCGCGGACGCAGTTTCTGCATCGTCATAGGTTTCCTACTGATCGGTGAACAATATTGTTTAAAAGAAAGTGCGTTCTCTACGTAAGTACAAATCCGTTTGTCAGTTTCTTTAAAAGTTTTCGAAATTTTTCATTCGTGACCGCAGCTCATGGAAACAGAAAACGAATTACTGTAAGTTAGACGTTTCAGTCTCATGAAGATCAGCACAATATTAAGTGGTTCTTGTGGTGGTATAAGGGTCATAAAATGAACTAACACTTTAAGTCTCTTGGAGAACAACAAGTCATTGCCAAACGTTTGGTAACGCCCAGGTCATGGAATATCAGTGACGTCACCTGTGCCAAACAGTGATATTTCCTCTCTGAAATACAACAACAAGGTGCTTTCGACCAATGTATTTTCTCTTTGTGTCATCAATCGAACGATAGTTCCTTCAGTTCTGTGTTCTGCCGGACGAAATACTGACAAATTTCGATTCACCACCGTTCCCTTCGCTAACCTGCGAGCAGATTTCATTTTAACGGGCGAGAAACATTGCTTCCCTGTTGTTTACAAATTTCTTGGCGGTGAGGGGAAACAGCGTTGGAGAAATTTTCAACTTAGGTATTTCAAAAACGAAACTCTGCGCGTCGCGGAAGACACAATGGCTGGGAAGGAATAAAAACCGAAGATAAAAATGTCACCTGTTACGGTAAGCCGTGAGAAAATGCGGTTAGTTGTTCTTAAGAAAAATTGCTTAACTGATGTTCCTAACTTGTGAGACGATTTTCCTATTGTTTCCATTAATAGGTCACCCGTGTAGCTAATGAAAAAGGCGAGGCGCTAAAGTGCTTAAGAAGAGTCTTTCCGGCCAAAAGACTGTATTGTGACAAATCGAAGACAAATTGGAGTCTGAAAAGTTTATTGATCATTCAAAGAAGCGCTGCTGTTGTAATCACAATAAATATTCGCACGCAGTTACCAGGTTTCCGGAGAAGTTTTTCATCAATATACGATTTGCAGATAAGCAAATGACAGTAAATTCCTCTGTGGTTTCTAACGGAAAATGAAGCAGTTACGAAAGTGCTTGTCATACAATGAGTGCCTTGTCGTTACCCCTTCAAAATGAAAATCATTACTTACTTTGCAAACGCCCATAAAATGAAGATGAAATCGTCCGATTTTGAGTGGAGTCTTCCTGAGCCTTGTTAGTTTGGATTTTAATATATGCGTGTCTAATACAGAAGATAAAATCGGAGAATCTCTCTTAAAACTTTGATAGGAAATTCTTATTGCCATATTTCGGAAACGTCAGAATTTTTGGTCTGAGTTTTATTATACAGTTACATTGTTCATCACAGGAGGTGTTTTTTAAATTAACCTTTTTTCCTCTTGCTCTCATATCTCTTTCACGTTTGCATATCATTGGCTGAGTTTATTAGTTTTTTTCGAATATTTTTCCCCGTATCGTAATCCACTCGCGAGGGGAGAGATGAAAGTAGCATGGCTTAAAAAATCGACGGACTGAAACCTTGTTGTGTGGGCTTAAAATCCCCTTTCGAAAACGTCCTCAAATACGCTGTCGAGCCGGAGACATGGCGACGGGTATTTTCCCTTTTGTTTGGTGCTAAGAGCGTTATTATTTGAAAGAGAACAAGCGATTAGAGACGATTAAGTGTTATAAAATATAAAACCGCTCGGAATTTCTATTTTAGTTTGTCTGATCCTTAGTTTTATTGTGGAGACCCTTAACATTTCCCAGACCCAATTGAACTTTTTATCGTGCATTACAGCGTTTTTAGATCAGAAGCCCTCTTTTGATTGGTCGATCTGGCACTACCTCGCCAACTGCGTTAGCAACTGTCTTTCTCGAAACTCTACAGTCTTATTTCTACAGATTATGGAAAGGAAAATGATAGATTACCGAGAGAAGGCGATTATCAAGGGGGCAGAAAACGCGCACAGGGCACTGAGAAACTAAAGACACTTCCAAACTTTATTGCACACGACACTTGATATCAGCAATTTTGATTGACAAATGATTCCCTTCACATCGGCGTAACATAACTCCCTTATGGAAAAGGTTTCCTTTTATTGGTTGTAATTAACTTTTTGTCATGTAAGCGAAGACAAATCGCGCAGACGATCAGTAGAATAGAACTCTGAATTTGCTCTTTTCCGATTACTTGTCTGATCACAGAAAAAGAAATGGGTCATCTTTAGACCTTCCGCTGCGCAAGCTCTAAGGCTTATCTCTGTCGCAACCAGTACAGTACTTCCCGCTAGCTGTAAACAATTATACAAGTCTTTAGAGATAAGACCAGCGGAATGCGCTCGGCGTTAAAAGATCCCGAACATAAAGTCTTGCCTCGTGCAATATCGTGCGCTTAGAAGCTCTTAGAAGTTGTACAAATCGGAACCAACCAGCTCTCCTGACGGCTAGTCGCGACTGAACGATTTAACAGCAAAGCCGATTTAACCACTCTGTGCGCATAGCTGCCCGCGAACAAATGCAACACGTCAACGGACATTGTTAAACAAACAGTCTCGATTACTCGTAATGGGTCGCGATATTTTTGTTTAGAAACGATTACTGAAATTGTGTCTCCGCAGCTAGGGTGTAACACAATATCTGAAGCAATCGAGATTTGGTCTGCCGGGAGATCATCACAGTGTCAGTTGGTTTGAAGAGGGCTCGGAGTTAAGGTTGCGCACAAGTTCAGCACTCCACAACAACTCAGATCCATAAGCAAATTGAAAGCATTCAGCAATGGAGACCATGATTCATCTAGTGGCCCTTTCCACGCTGATGACTCTACAAATTCTTTGTTTCTTTGGAGGAATCCAGGTAAGAGGAAAACATTAGTGGTTTTACTAGTTCTGTCGTGTTTCTCTTGTTTCCGGTTCTCTGCAGTTTACATAGAAAACCCATTTTTACAGCGTTATTAATAGGCGAGTGACAGATTGCCTTTGGACGTTGAAAATACATTTTATCTGCGCTGACACGGGACAATATATCTTACTTTCCCGTTTTTGTCTTCCCGCTGCGAACGTAGGGGGGCAATTTTTGACGTCTTGTTATGTTTGAAAACTCGAAAGTTTATGTTACCCAGCGGTGCTTCCATACACAATAAACAAAGTAGTTTACTTAACAGCTCGTGATAACAAAGTCTCACTGCTGTGTGCATCTTATTTTAGCGCTCACTGTAGCCAATGACAATGTGAAAGCATCATTTGTCAGGCACATTAAATACGTTATTGAGTGAACTCAACAGATGCCCGGCGTTTATTTCGCGTGTCGCACAACTCGTACTTTAAGTTGATGGTGTTTCACGGGGTGTGGGCACTTTGTAAGCGGCAAGAGACTAACGCTCGTAAATAGAATTGTTGAGTTAACTTGTCTTATTAACACTGGGGAAATTAAAATATACTAAGGTTTCAAGCAAATGTCGACGTGTTCTCGGTTTGAAGAGGTCACAAGGGCACTTAGAAATACACTAACCGTAAATTCATTCACGCGTCAAATTTGTCGTTCTCAAACGAAGCGAAAAGATGTGTGCAATATTACAACAACAACCTACTCATCAACAATTTGAACATTCCTCTTAGAACTCATGGATCAATACTAATGGCGCTGAAAACACGCCTTGTATCGGAGATAAAGCTATAGTTTGAGTAATACCTTTTTGAATAACAGTAAAGGATATTATCTTATTAACAGAGTTTCAAAGTCGTGACCACATTTTCGCTATTGCTGTCAACCTTTAAACACGTAAAAACAAACACGTACTGAAAAATCAGACCAGATCCTTCGGTTAAGTTAAAATGGTCTATAATTGAACCTCCTGAGTAGTTTTTCAAGAGCGAATCAGCGTAAACTGAATCAGCAAAGTGCATCCAAAACGTGTTGTGTTTCATTAGTGGAGTTTTTCGCTCTTATCTGTCCATCCTACTGATTGCGAGTATGGTGGAATTAGATCGTCTGAGCTATCATTCTATGCTGTTAAATCCCATGTGATGGAAAGCAGTAGGGAACCGGAGGTATCTGCGGAATTTTCGTGACTGGAAGTGTATATTTGTCTGCGCAATTACATCAAAGTGAGCGTGTTGTGTTAGGACAATTATTCTGCAATTTCCGAAACCAGGGGGCCTTCCGCAGTTTGTTATCCAACCTAATAAAGAAGTGGTCAATCAAAAAACGACGTATTCTCATTAGAAGCTCTTGCAGATTGACATCAGCACACGAAAAAAACATTTTGCGATCATCGCAAAAGAGCGAACGTGACTTTGTGCGCGCAAGGTTGTTTTCATGAGCAAAACTGGTTACCTTCCGCTAGAAATCGTTGGCGGAATGAACTGTTTGCTTAACTAAGCCGATCTCCAGCGCAAATGAAGAGTAAACACGATGTTTACAGAGGTGTATATTGACTTAAGGAAAACTCGCTTGTGGTGCTTATTTGCGCGAACGTCTTAGGTCACTAGACGGTAAACGGCGCGAATTAGATAGCAAGTTATTTGGTTAAACAACATGAAAATACTTTGGCGCGCGGACGTGATTGATGATACTTTCACAGATCTTTTAATCATATTAATGTTTCTCTTGCTTGTGTTTGTCACGGGTCTAAAAGTGATGTGATTTTCTCCAAGACTGATTCTTTAATTCACCATATGTTTTTATATTCAGAAACAAGGTTAATTCGTAGATTGTAGCTATGACGGCAAATTAGCCACTTTAATGTTAACAATATATTACTGTATATTTCGTCTAAAGAAGAGAGTTTCTTTCAATCTCCTTTTTTCATCACTCAACGAAAGAACCGATAGGTCATCCTTGCGAAGGCATTTGGTTTATTAGTCAAGTATTCTGGCCAAAATTTGTGGATTCAATTTGATATCTGTCTCTCTAGCAATAGAGAGGTCCTATATCAACACGACGCTTAATATACACTTTCTCATTCCGTCGACTTAAACAAAGTGAGGTATTTGGTAGGAAATTACGTCATGTTATCAAAAATATGTGTAGCTCTGTGCATTACGGTTTAAAATAAGTGGGTGGTTTGGCGTGAAATGAAATGCGATCTGGCGGTTTCGAATCGAATCCGCCCTCTAGGGTCTGTGGTAGATCCATCTCAAATTAACATGTCACCAAATGAGGTTACGGAGGAACTACGTATACTTCAAAGCAAAACATATAGAAGACTTAAGAGATAGCATAATCAGATGTTAGATAAGGTTGATTTTTTCCGCTTTAGCCAATTCATCAAGGGGTTTTTAAGGGGTCCATGACCGAAAATGAATTTGAATTCGTCCAGTGTTAGGTGTAACATACCATTTAGTTCTCAATAACTCGGTCTTCTTATAAAGTATTCGACCTCAAAACAGCACTTAGTTGCGGCCCGAATACTCTGCAATGAGAATCATATTTTTATTTGTGAAAGATTTCTGATCAGTGTTCAACATTGTTCCATTCGGAGAGCTGTCCCTTTTCTTCATGGCTATCAGAATAAACCTCCGAGAAAAATAATTATTGATAACGTCAAATATTGAAAAACACATGCCCCACATTTTTTAAATCTTCAGCAGGACTTACAAGCCCGCGACAGTTCCATCCCACGAAAATTAATGATGCAGAATGTCTTAAAACTATCCAAAGATATTTGGATCACAGTTAAGCGGACTTTGAAGCAACTGTACCGCTTACTGCTCTTGATACAAAAACAATGAACAAGTACCGGCATTTTTGAAAAATTTAAGCCTCTGAAAGCACCGCGATTAAACTTAAAATTCTTTTAAGTATTTTATTTTATTCATCTCGGATACTCTTCTGAGAAATAAAAATTTCGGATCCATTGTTTCACAAGTATATACTATCAGTTACAGTGTTCGAGCGACTTAACAGCTTAAAAGATCTAGGTAAGCCAACGAAAGATGTAGTTCTGAATTCTCCTTACTAAATCGCTAATAATACCCAATAAAACGAAGGGAGATTTTAGGATTAAACAGTAAAATTGACTATAATTTTCTTACTGGTTTTCACCTCAAAATCTTTAACAGCATTTAGATAGTTAATTGAACGTTTCCTTCAGATGAAAGTAACTTCTATGTACGGTTACGATTCCATGTTGCAAAGTCGCAAATTTCCTCTCTCTGAAAAGTTCCACATAATTTGTCTCTACAAAGTTGTTTACATATCGTTTGAATTTCTCCAGAAGGAATTTCTGGAAAAATTCACGCTCGGGTCACGTTTTAACGCCTTTTGAAATATAAAATTACCAAGATTAATCGCTATTAACTAAATAATCCCCGTTAAAATCATCCCGTGTTTACTTTGCCTGTTTGTGTCAGGCTAAACAGCTAAAATCTCAATCGGCTTTGCAGTGTTCTAAGCCATACCAGATCTTAACTAAATATTGAACGAAAAAAAGAAGGCTTGTAGAGAATTCTGTATGGTACAACATATGTTTCGTGGGGCAAACCTGTTTATTTTCGGTATTTCTAACCTTCACAGCAATCCTAACTGAAAGGTTGAAAATAGAAAAGGTCATCATAAAGGCGTGAATTTCCCACATAGTTCGTTATCAAATGAATTAATTCTATTTGGTCGGTAATTGATTTAATTTTCTGAAAAGCGCTGTGAAAAGAATCTAAAAGTCGGTTTATAAAGAACCCGTAAATCGCATGAACGAAGAGAAGAGTTTTATCGCTTTTCAAAAAGGAAATTCTTATAATACTTTGATGCAGTTTGAGAGAGTCAATTAACTTTTACACTATTTTCCTGCAAAAAGGATTATAATTGAAACTCACGTATGACTGAAATAAATTGACAATTACGAAAAAAATGAGATGTATATATACATACACACATAGCGTCCAGTGTAGTGTATCTTTCGCCAGTTTCCGTATTTTGTTAGATAATCTAAAATTGTTGAAACTTACGAACACCATCAAATCAAGAACAACAAAACGTGTAAATATTTTTTATGTCTATACGCAGAATTATCTAAATATGACATTGCGAAATTTTTGAGCCGAGGTTGAATTCTTCGGCGTCAGTGAGTGCTATTTTTAAAAGGCTACAAAACTAAATTTAGCTGTTAGCTTGGGTTAGGGAAATCCCTCTCCATTGTGTAAGATTGTGTTGGGGTAAAATTGTTATAATTTGATCCGATCTGTCTAGCGCAAGTCCCAAACGGTTTCCATGTAGCAGTTGTGTTTTTTTGTGGAGTATTTGTTACACACGCGCCAGGAACGTGGACAAAGGTTTGAATATACTGGTATCATACGGAGGTTATAACAGTTTCAGTCACGTTTGATTAATTCTTTTAACGCCTGTAGCACTTGTGAAGGCGTTTTTGAATGTCGACGGCTGATAACGTTGATCTCATTAGCACTTGTATGTTGCAAAATAAGTATTAACTTTGTCCGTGCCTCAGGCGGGTTGTGAATTCATATCTGTATTTTAAGCTTCACGCTTTAACTGTACGGCAAATGAACAACTTTACACGAGTTTAGCAACCCTTTTCTTTTGTTTCACCGAGCGAGACAACTTTTTGAATTTCATATTTTAGCGTTGATTAAAAATGTTGTCTGAGTAAACGCAAGTTATTTGGTTAAAGATTACATAGTATTGAAGGAATTTTTCAAATTGGATAAAAGGTTGTTATTCCCTTCAGTCCAATTTAGGGATTTGTCCAAGAATTGAGAGAATTCTGCTCTTGTTTAGATTAGCCGAGTTCTGAGCGCTCTTGAAGTATGTGGTTTTTGTTATTTATAGTTCACTACCTGTGTTTTTATTTTGCTTTTACTTCTTATGAACAACGAATTAAAGGTAAAGAGATTTACCTAAAC